TCTGTCTCTGGTGAAGCCTCTCACCGCCCCTGAGCCTCTGGCCTGTACCCCAGTTCTGTATGTACAAATAAATAAATCTTTAAAAAAAAAAAAAGAAAGAAAGATTTCTCAGGATTGCAGAGTTAGGGTTGGGGCTAAGATTGATGTTGGGAGCTTAGGGGCGGTTTCATTAGTTGAGATAAGAGGTGGCGATACTTTGAATGAAAGTGATGGTCAAAGCGTATCTGTGAGAATGGACTGGAAAGATGAGTGATGCCCACCATTCTGACTTGACTTATGGGTGCAAGTGTCAGAAAAGTGGGTGGGCTGTTGTTTCCCTGAATTGAAAAAGGTCATGTTTGGTATCAGAATACCTATGTTAAATGGAGCATCCATTAGACATTCATGTGGAGACATTTAAAAGTCAGTAGGATAGATGGGCATGGAGCTCAGGAAAGCAAACAAGACTTGAGGTCTATAGATTTGGAAGTCCTAACAACTGTCACTGGAATGATGGGTGTGAGGGAGACAAGAGAGTAGACTCTGGCTCATTGTTGCAAGTACAAGCAAAGTAGCTGACAAGAAATTCCAACTTCCCCTGGGACATGGCAGTGGATATTAACATCCATCAATTATGTGGGGCCATGGCTTTCTCAAATACTACAAATAAGCATCTTTTGAGTGACAACTACCTAGGAGCACTGGAGTACACACTTTGCATAAGTTACTTGTTAACCCTCACACTAACCCTCCAAAGTAGGTATTATTGTTTCCTTGTTAGATTTTAAAAACTAAGGTTGAAATATACTGCATCCCTCTTGAAGGCAAAGGTTAGGTTTCAGTCAACTTCAATCTTGTAGGCCATTAATCTAGCCATCTCTTGCCTATTCCTTCCACATCCTTCCATAACTGCCCCTGCCCTAAGGATAAAATCCTTAGAAAAAACTCCACACGGAGTTACAAGTCCTTTAATGTTTCTCTGTCTTGCCTTCCTGGCCTTCTCCCCCCTTTCCCGACCCCACCCATGTGGCCTAGCAGTGGCTCCCCGTGGGTGCTAATAATCAGAATCCTGGGACTCATTACTTGAGAATGTGATTCATTCTGGGGTGGGGCCTATAAAAATTTTGTGTTTTAAAAATCTCTCCTTGTAATTCTGAATTTCAGTCAGTATTAGGAACAGTGCTCATGCCTCAGTCTCTGAAGTTTCCTGTCCTCAAACATGCTGCTGACGCAAGCCTGTGCCCGAGCAAAGCCGCTTTATGTCTGCTTTCCCATTAGGGGATTCCTGAGAGTAGGACACGCTTCCACACACCACTGTACTTGGATTATTTTTCCACTTTCCCCTAAAATTCTACAATCAAACTTTTTAAGTAATACAAAGGAAATTATTGTATTTTCAACTGTCTTCTACATTCTCACTTTATTACTTTACCATACATCAGGATGTTCTCACATCAAATTATTAAGTTTTCATCTAATTGTACAATATGGAGGCATGCAGCTGTCCTCAGCAAACTATAGTTTATAAAGGGATGGACAATCAATAAAATGGGACTAAAATAAATCAGTAAGCATTAAAGTACTCTCTGAGGTACATGTAGTGGTAGTTGTCATAGTTAGTAGTAGCTCCATGAAAACTACTACTACTAATGAAGAAAACTTCAAGGACTTCTCTGAATATATGAAAGGAAAAGTGGTAAGCGGTGGAGTGAATCTGGAGCTGGCTTGATCCTGTGTCCACTCCGCAGTGCTGTGACCATGTGAATCCCAAGCACACACTCAGGCCCAGTGAGCCGAGACACATGCAGGTCCAAACGATGGTTTTTACGATTCCAGGAAACTTTGAAACGCTCACCCCAAAGATAAATGGGATGTGCCAATAACCAAACACTATTATCAATTACAAAATTAGAGAGCAACATTTTCTCTCAAGAAAATTACTGGCGCTTCAGACCTCTCCCTGTCTTACCCGCTGCTCCCCTGAGCAAGGTACTTCGTCAATCTGCCTGTTCTGCTCCCTGCTCTGTCTCTGGAGAATCCTCTCACCTCCTGGCACCTCTGGCCTGTACCCCAGTTCCATATGCATAAATAAATAAATCTTTAAAAAAAAAAAAAGAAAGAAAATCGAGGAATTCTGGGATGATGAATCTGCCTGTAATGCTGAGAACCTAGAATGGCAAAACATAAGACAGAAGGAACAACACACACCGCAGTACTAGGTGACAAGGTCTCAATACTGACCCCCAAATACCAGAAGCTCGGGACAAACTCCCACCACTACAAAGCCCAATGCTCAGAAACTGCCAGAGCCCAAGAGGACAAGGAAGGACGTGAAAGCCGGGAGGAGGGAGCCCAGACTGCCAGTTTGTTCTCACTGGAAAGCCTGGGCACAGCAGCAGAGGCTGGGAGGGGGTTTTCAGGCTCTGTTTAATGGAAGACCCAAATGCCGCCAGGTCTGATGGTGCCAGAGCATCCTGCGGGTCGAAGTCCTTTGAGTTTTTGGAAATGCAAGCTGGAGCCTCCTGCTAGGACAGAGTAGACGCTGCAGATAAATGACCAAGAGTTTCGTCTAAATTGAGCCCGAGATGGAAAATGGGGTGACGGGATGAGAAAGTCCAGATAACAAGGAGGAGGCACAAAGGAGCCCACACCTCCTCTCTGGGTGCAGCCAACTGTCCTTCCAAACTCTTGCAAACTCCTACTCAACCCTCAAAACGCTGACTCATTTTTTCCTAGCAGCTTAAACAGCGTCTCCACGAACTCTCCCCACCCCACACCCCAGCTTGTATTTATTGGTCACTCCCCACCCTTCACATTCTTGTAGATGGTTTTTCCAAAGTCTAGTTTCTCTTTGTGACATATTTGGGTGTCTCTCTCAGACAAGCTTTTGGAAAGAGTGCCTTGTATCTTATTTTTTCGAAATGAAATATTTAATTAGCTGCTCCTCAAAGGGTTTGTTCTCCATTTTTTAATCTACTTATACCACCTCCTTTCTGCACTTTGCCTTCTTAATGTTTTAGACTTAATTTCTTATCTTGACTGGTCTTATCCAATCATGGAAATCTCATTCTCCTTGCCACATTTGTTTAAGGGCAGGCTAGACATAGCCCAGTTACAGTTTGTGAATTCCCACATGATGTTTTCCAGGAATGTACTGGAAAAGTGATCCTATTTCATAATAACAAAGAATCATGGGTCACCCTGAGGATGACAGAACAGAAAACTGAAAATAGCCTTTGTCCTTGATATTTACTGACCGTAAAATCCTATTTGGCCACTTAAAACCAAATATGTCTGCTGCCATTTTTTTTTTAATGATATTGTAATTATTTTCTAAGGGATCCTCTCTCCATTACTATGTGAATTCTCCAAGAACAGGGACAGCTGGTCCTGTGTTTTGATCCTGACTTGAGATATGGTCTGTTGTT